AGACATGACACAGAGTGTGTGAGAGAAGAGAGGTGTGTAAAAAAAAACAAAATAAAATATATATATATATATATATATATATATATATATATATATATATATATATATATATATATATATATATATATTATCGGGGGGGCACGCGGTAGCGTAGTTCGTTGAGGCACTATGCTACAAGGCGGAAGGTCGCAGGTTCAAGTCCCGATGAGGTCATTGGATTTTTCAATTGATCTAATCCTTCCAGCAGCACTATGGCCCTGGGGTCGACTCAGACTCTAACAGAAATGAGTACCAGGAATTAAGTAATTTTCCTGGGGAGCAGAGCGCGGCCGGCGCGTAAGGCTGACAAACTTACCACCATCTTTGAGCCGATTGTCTAGAAAATGTAGGACTCTCAACGTCTCACAATCCTATGGGCCTTCACGGCCTGTTACAGGGATAACTTTACTTATATATATGTATGTGTGTGTGTGTGTGTGAGAGAGAGAGAGAGATAGCGAGACAGTTGAATACTCGTACTTTAGAGAGGGCCCATCTATCTGTGAGTGTGGAAACTAACTGAGAAGTCAACTGGTAATAAAATCATCGAAATGTTATCTGACACTGATTTTCGTCCCTGCCTACAATTCATGGCAGTGAAACGCCCCCTTTCCTCAATTTTATTGTTATCCACTTACCTATGTCTCGGTCTTCCTAGTGGTCTCTGGTTTTCCACCATTATCCTCCATGCATTCGCGGTTGTGTTGCGGTTGCCAGTTTCCTCGGTGTGCCCTTGCCATAACAGTCTGTCAGGTGCCACCGCCAGGCAGTTCTCGATAACTCCGACTTGTGGAGCTCATGTTTGTTGTCTGCAGGTAAAATGCTCAATCCCGAAAGCTTCCTGGATCGTGGCGCTAGTCCGGTATAAGTTTATGAGATATCTTAAAAGATCAATGTTTTTACTTTCCTTGGAATCTCTCTTTGAGCAAAGGTTTTCCTGCGGTCGACGCCTTTTTGTTCGAAGTCTGGTCTGAAACGAATAAAATTTCGTGCACGAAAACGGCCCTGAACAATTTGTATAGCAGCAACAATTTAGACTCGTAAGTGGGAGGTGCTCAGTTCGAATATCAGCTGTGACACCGGTTGTCTTGACTGAGGTATTTTGCGGTTTTCTTCAGTCTTTCTAGGCAAATACTTAGGTTGCCAAGGCCTCCTTCAAAATTCTTTGCAATTCATTATGCATATCTCATGCTAACATGCGATGCTGTATAGAATCGACATTGCAAGTGTTGTTGAAGTGGCCGTTGGCTGGGGAATGGAACGAAGCTTGTGAGTGCAGAGGGTTTGCTCCGTTGCCGCCAACACTGATTAAATATGCAGCTGTTAAGTGGTCTGGTTCTTCAAAATAAAGAAATGCACAGTTAGATGAAAATATTTGTTTTACTCGAACCGCCTCAGGGATCTCCAAAAGAGTATATCCAGGGGTAGTAAGGAATTTCTGTGTAAAATTTATTTGTAATCGGATCTTTTCTCACAGCAAGTTGAATAGTTATAAATTAATACAGCAAAAATTATAATATTACTGAAGAAGAGTTACATCTTCTGGGATATAACCCCGTGTAGTCCGTTGAAAATCATCCGACATTTCGGAAGATCATATCGCCTCCATCTTCTGGGTCGAAGAGTAAGCTAAGCCAGAAACCGACGTGAAGGCACGTGGCAAGCAGAAGATGGAAGTGACATATTCCTCCGATACGTGGGCTGACTTTCATTGGCCAACAAGGCGTTATATCCTAGCAGACGAAACACTCATTACCACTGCTAAGATCGTCAGATCCTGCTAATATTACAATTTGTCTCTAATACGTATTTTGAAGTCTATAACTATTTTACCGAGATATAGAGAGTATAATGAAATTTTCAACATTCATTCTGTCTCACGTACTCCCTCAAAAAAAGTGGAATCAGGAAGATCATGTTTTCTTGGCCCTCGGATTGACACTTTAATAAGCACGTACAATCGCCTCGTAGAGTCGAGCGGTGGTGGCGCTGTCTGTCGTACGCCCTTCGGAGTGTCGTGGCCAGTCGTGGCATGCCGCTTACCCCGCCTGGTTCTCATTGGCTGCGTCAAAGTATTGTTTATGACGTTTCGTTCTGAACTGTTATTGATGGTCTTGTGCTTGTTTTTTCGTCGTGATGATGGTAATGATTGAGGAGCATTGCGAGGTCTTAACAAGTTTAATGAGTCGCCGGTGGATTCTCGTGAATGCACGTTTTTAGTTGCACTCATGACAACAGTAACATATAGAATGAGTGAAGATGTACAAGAAAGAGCAAGTTTCGCAGCCCGCGATGTGCCTACTTACGGCGCCGTGGTTGACCCGGTAGGTTTGAAGAATTGTCAGTGCCACGACACGTTTTGTAGGTGATCAAACCTTCCCTTCCTCAGCGTTAATTTAGGTTATGTGTCCATTTTGCATGCAATCAAGGGCAGCAGATGGGAGTAATGTCAAATTGAAATGGGTTATTTTTCACTGTAACCAACCAATGGAGCAGTGTAATGTAATTGAGCAGATAGTAGTCTCAAAAAATTCCGTACCTTTCATGAAACCCGAAGGCCCATTACCGTGTTCGCAATGTCCTGCCACGGGACCCAATGCAGAGCCACGTGATCTCTTCATTGTATTTTTTTATGATCGATTTTAATATGACAGCCCGTCGCTATACCGACTGAGCTATCCCAACTCCCGTGTGACAATAGAAACAATTTTATATAAGCCATTCTCAAGTAGAGATCTTGCTATTATTTATTTAATTATTAACAATAATACAAGTTTTTTTTTCTGTGACTTCTGAGGGTAGCAATGGATATTAGGTCTGTTATGATTTATGAAATGGGTAGAGTAGAGAGGGGGTTTGTTTTTATTTAATTTAGAGTTCAAGCAGTCAGTTAGGGCAGAAAAATATGCCAAATAAAAATAAAACATAATAAATGAAACTGTTAACTTAAAGCAAATAAATACATTTGGAGCACCAACCCTCTATAAATTATTTTTTTTAGTCCTAAGATTAAAAAAAACAGACATTTCTTATTCTCCTTTGGCTTTACATAGTGACGCTGTGTTGGCTTCATACTTTATGTAGTGTTAAAGAGAAAATAGCCAGACGATATGCAGTGCTGGGAAGGATTTCAGAGAAGTCAGTGGTTGACTTTGTTGGTGTACTATGAGGTTTGCATGGACTGAGGAAAACCTTGAATTATATTTAAAGCAGATGGTCTCCTGGTTGAGGCTTGAGCCAGCGATCTCCTGAATATAAAGAAGTAAAACAGAATGAACTTTGACATTCAGCCAGACACTGATAGCATCAGATTAATGTAACTGATGTTTATTTGCAGACTGCTGACGATCTGGTGCCACTGTTGGAGGACATGGACCCAAAGGGAGGAGTCAGCACACAGATTCTTATGGCACAAGAAGACCAACTTCCGAAAGCTGCAAAATTGCCGCAGTATGTTGCTGCTGTGTCAGGTGATGTACAGTGGTACTGTGTTCATGACAATGACTTTCTCTAGGATGTGACATCATGTAGTCTGGTAGATGGAGGCAGCGCATTCCTCTCAAATATTGGTGTCGTTCACTGCAGTACACAGCATCATATCCCATGAGACAGTAAACTTGAAGAATGTTGCTGAAGATACTTGATTAAGGATTTTTGAATTAGAACTTACCAACAATACCACTGGTATCAGGTTCCTGAGTAAAACTGCAAGAGACTTTTGTGTCCTATGCAATTGTGAAGCTATGTCTTACTTAAGGTTTTGTCACCTGGGACATAGGCATCCAAGTGACCACCTAGATGCCCCTATAAGTAAGGTACTGCACTTCCTTCAAAGTGTTGGATTGTTTGGGGCTGAACAGAAGGGGGTGTAGTGTGTGGGCTGGTGTGGCCCACCCCTAATTGGATGATTTATTGATTGATTGATTAATGTATTCTTTCATAAGTGGTCCAGACTGAACCTTTGTCACTCCTTGACTGAAACTGAACCACCCTAATACTGTGACAAAAACTGAACCTTTCTATTGCTGTGATCCAGACTGAAGTTTCCTAAAACCATGATCCAGACTGAACCTTTCCAACACTGTGATCCAAAGTGAACACCTCGAACTCTCTTCTATATTGACTCTTTCTAGCGTGGTATGGTGCATACTGAAGCATTTAACTGTCTGACCCAAACAGTGTGCATAACACTGACCAGGAAACTGAAACATGTGAAGCCCATATGAAACTGGAAACTTGTGAGAATGTCAGCGGACTGTAGTCACAAGATGTGTGATCTTCAGAGCCTAGCACTTAGAGACCCGGCTTATTCTGTATGTCTGTTTCCAGAGATAATAATTAGGGACTGTCTGTTTCAGTTACGTTGGGTGGATTCGCACTGGGCAATGTCCTCTCATGGACGTCACCAACACAAGGAGTTCTTGAAGACAAACTCGGCACGAATTCCTGGGCATGGGTCGGTGCCTTAATGGCTCTCGGAGCTGCTGTTGCAGTTCTTCCAGTAGGGTACCTGATTGACAAAATTGGACGTAAATACACAATGTTGGGACTGGTTCTGCCATTCACAGCTGGATGGGCACTCATAGCATGGGCTGACGACTCAGTAAGTAGCATTGAGGTTAATCACACATGCAGTATGCATTGTGTATGTGCTTTACTAATTCTCTTGATTGCATCTAGTTCTGTGTGATGCATTTGAGGTTCTCAGTTCTGACTGGGTTGTACTGCTGTGAAATTTGGTATAAAGTCAGTGACATTTTGGAGGATTGTATCACCTCCATCTTCAGGGTTGAAGAGTGAGACAGGCAGAAGGTAGAACCTTGCCTCCTATTGCTTGTTTCTTAATAGGCTTACTCTTCAACCCTGAAGATGGAAGCAGAGGCTCCTGCAAAATATTTGACTTCTACATAATTACACAACATTATGAAGGTAACTTAATAAGTAAGTTACAAATGGATNGCTTTCCACCGCGGTGGCCTGGATTCGATCCCATGTCTGGTAAAGTGGGATTTGTGGTGGACAAAGTGGCACTAGGGCAGGTTTTCTCTGAGTACTTTGGTTTCCCCTGCCAATCTTCATTCCACCAATTGCTCCACAGTCACCCTCACCTGTCATCTGGGGCTGGTACAATAGGCCAGAAGTGGCCGCAGTACAAGGGACTTAGTCCCACCCCACTAGCAATAAAAGAAAGTTACAAATGGATATAGAACTTAAACAAATAAGAGTACTGATCCGAAAAATGCTTTTATTTCTCAACATAATCCCCCTATACATTGAGGCCCTTGTCCCATCATTTCACAAGCCCCTGAAAACCAGCAGCATAAAATTCTTTGGGCTGCTGTCAGAACCAGTTTGTGACTGGGATCACGAAGGCATACTGCTCACGCCATTCCAGCCTCAAGGACAAACTGTAAATGCCGACTCCTACTGTAACATCCTCAGGAAACTTTGTAAGGCCATTCAGCGGAAGTGACCAGGACTCCTCACCAAAGGCGTGTTGCTCTTGCATGACAACACGTCCCCATACTGCCAACAAGACAAATGAGACGCTGTGAAATGTCAAGTGGGAAGTCCTTGAGCATCCTCCGTATAGCCCCGATCTTGCTCCAGGTAACTTCCATTTGTTCGGCCCTCTTGAACATCATCTTTTGGCTGAACATTTTCCTGACGATGAAGCTGTAGAAAGGGAAGTCACCGCCTGGTTCCGACAGCAGCACAAAGAATTTTATGCTGCTGGTTTTCAGTGTCTTGTGAAACGATGGGACAAGTGCCGCAATGTACAGGGAGATTATGTTGAGAAATAAAAGCATTTTTCAAATCAGTACTCTAAGTTTAAGTTAGTTTAAGCTCTATATCCATTTGTAACTTACTTATTGACTTACCTATGTACTACCCAGAAGCTCATGCTCTTCTGTAAATGTTCACTTCTAAATTAGTCATTATTTGTTGGACATAATTTTCCAAGTAGAAGAAATATGTGGTTTTGAAAATGGTGTAAAATTGCAAGAATAATGTTTGTATCGTGACGTGTTGTGCTATGGATGACGCCCCTCCCTCCCCGTCAGCCGTGACGTGGTGAGCGGAGCCAAAGTGAGCTGAGTCCAAGCACGCTGGTTGCTATGCAAAGCAAGTAAACAGCAGTTGCTAATCAAAGCCAGTCAACACCCTGTCTCTTCCTGCGGTGACGTAACACGGGACGTCGCAGTTGCTACGTAGCCATAAACAACTCCCGGCAGCATTGATAGGCTATTGGCAAACACGGCGACTAGGCAACAAGGAAGTGAGACGTTTTCCCATTGTGGGGCTGAAGGTTTATAAGACAGTTAAAGACGAAGACAGTTAAAGTGTATCCTTCGCTGAAGTGAGTTTTCAAGACAGCAGCCTATGAGTTGAGTTGGAATCTAGCCAGTGGAGAGTTACAAGTTAGCCAAGCAGTCAACCAGTCAGTTGTAGTCTAGCACTTGCAGTCTAGTATTTGTGATACTGCCAATGGCAGTAATTGTCAGATTGTAAACTGTGTGATTGTATGAGCGAGTGTGGAATAAAATTTGCTATATCCAATACGGCGTGAAGTTATTTGTCGCGTTATACACCCAACATGTGACAGTATTAACAATAGTTTGATGCAAAATCCAAGTGAGCAACATTATGGAGTGTCATTTGGTCTCTTTCAGCCGACGTTCCTCATTCTGAAAAAATGAAAGAAGGCTTATGAGTATGTGTCTTTATGCCCCTCCCCTTAAATTTTTGAATGCCTGAACTGGTCATCATGAAACTTGGTACAGTTTGTATATCATGTCACCTGAGGCCTTCTTAGCGGCATACGAGGGGGGACCCAAAAATAACCGGAACCGACCTGTTGCGCGCGCATGCTTTGTAGTTACGAGTTGTGCTGCTAGATGGTGTTAGCTGGGGGTCTCCCGCGACTGTTAGTGAGCTGGAGTCAGTCTGAGTTAAGTAGTTTGTCTGTGGTGCTCTGTTGTGTGCGTTCCTGTTTCAACCCTTTGGCGATTAGTGAGATTAGCGATTGGCGATTAGCGTGTTTTCTTTGACTTCATCCACATCACGGAATCCCTTTCCTTTCAGACTTCTCTTCACCCGTGGAAACAAAAAAAAGTCCGACAGAGCCAGGTCGGGTGAGTAAGGTGGATGAGGCACAATCACCATGTTGTTGCTTGTCAAAAACTGTCGGACCATNTGAGCTGGCGTCAGTCTGAGTTAAGTGGTTTGTCTGTGGTGCTCTGTTGTGTGCGTTCCTGTTTCAACCCTTTGGCGATTAGTGAGATGGCCGACCAGAAGGAACAAAGAGTGTGCGTGAAATTTTGCTTTCTGTTAGGGAAAACTGCACTTCACTCTTCAAGTCGCGGCAAACATTCACGCGGTTTTCTCTTTGGTCATCTCCGAGCAAGCGAGGAACAAATTTTGCAGACACCCGTCTCATGTGCAAACCTTCGGTTAAAATTCGCTGGACCGTGCTCCATGAGATGTTCGTTTCCTCAGAAAGTTGGTCAATGGTCTTTCGACGATCTTCATCAATTGCACGTTTGATTTTGGCAATGTTTTCGTCATTTCTTCCTGTCGAAGGATGCCCGGGGTGTGGCATGTCTTCTGTTGACATGTTGCCAGATTTGAAACGGGAAAACCACTCGTAGACCTGTGATTTCCCCAAAGCATCATCATTAAAGGCTTGCCGAAGCATCCCAACAGTCTCGGCTGCAGTATTCCCTAACAGAAAGCAAAATTTCATGTAAACTCTTTGTTCCTTCTGGTCGGCCATCTCACTAATCGCCAAAGGGTTGAAACAGGAACGCACACAACAGAGCGCCACAGACAAACCACTTAACTCAGACTGACGCCAGCTCACTAACAGTCATGGGAAACCCCCAGCTAACACCACCTAGCAGCACAACTCATAACTACAAAGCATGTGCGCGCAACAGGTCGGTTCCGGTTATTTTTGGGTCCCCCTTCGTATGTCATAAATTCCCTACATCAATAATACAAACACTGCCTCTTTTAAAGTTGTTGATGTAATAACGTTAATATTACTTGAATGCCTGAACTGATTGTCATTAAAGGTGATGTAAAAGGCTTGCCATAGAAGACAGTTTCAACAGCATAACTCACAAATGCCTCCCTATGGCAGTATCAATAGTAGGAATGCTCAAATTCTTGATGTGGAAGCCAGAGCTTCATTTTATCTGAACACTGATTTCATGGATGTAGTACCACTTGCAGTCCTGTAATGCACATATTTTATGTATGTTGTGAAAAATTAAGCTATAAAAGTACAGTAAAAATTAAGTTACATTTCCAAACCAATTTAAAAATTTGTTTTACAATTGGAAATCATTTAATGAAATGCTTTTGTAAGCATGTGCTTCATAATGCTTGTCACCATGGAGTCAGTGTAATCAGATTTATATAGAGTGCCACCTCTCCGTGGCTGTGTAATAGGATCTCAGATCAGAATATTTTCTTAATGAATTCTACTAGCTGATGACTGAATATTATTGTGTGCAGGCAGCAATGTACATGGTGGGGCGGTTCATCACAGGCATGATGGGTGGAGCGTTCAGCCTCACAGCCCCTGCATACACAAGTGAGATCTCGGAGAAGGAGATACGTGGCAGACTGGGAAGCTACTTCCAGCTGATGTTGACAATTGGCATCCTGTTTGTGTATGGACTTGGCAGTGTGCTGACAGTATTTGAGCTCTCTGTGGTTTGTGGAGTTGTGCCGCTTGTGTTTGGAGTGGTATTCCTGTTCATGCCAGAGACACCTCTGTACTACTTGCAGCAAGGGCAGAAGGACCGTGCAGAAGCCTCCCTGAAGTGGTTCAGAGGTAAGACTGTCTAACAGCTGCTTGATGAAGCTGTTAGTAAGAAAATAATAATTGGCCTTTGCTGTTTTCTGTCAAATAAAGGCCAGAAATAGAAGAATCATAACTGAACTTGATGGAACAATTTTGTTGTGGACTGACTTGGCGGATCTGCCATTATGTATCATTTGTAATGTACAAAATGCAAAAAAATGGGCAGAGCCTCTGAAATAAACAGTTCCCATCTGTAGCTTCAGTTCGTACAGATCCACTTGTGAGATCATTGGGTATGCATGTGGTTAACAGTGGGAATCTCTGTTCTCAGAAGACAAGATGCAGTACTGACTGAAGTATTAGGTACCACCCTCACTGCTGCTTAATGATCTTACTCGTGTCTGTAACTGTTAATTACAATGATTTCTGCATAATGACTAAAATGACAATGGAACACACTTATCTTTTATATGTACCCTATATGGGACTGCCTCTGTGGGCTAGTGGTCAGAGTTCCTGGCTAAAGATCCAGAAGTCTGGGTTCGATTCCCTGCGCCAACAGATTTTCTGAGAAGTAGTGGGTCTTAAATGGGGCCCACTCAGCCTCGTGAGGATAATTGAGGAGCTATTTCAAGGAAGCAGCGGCTTCAGTCTAGAAAACCGAGATTAACGGCCATGGGAATCCGTTGTGCTGATGACACAACACCCTCTATCCACAAAAGTTGGCATTAACTTCGCCAACAAATGGCAGTTGCTCGGTCGGTATAGTTTGCTTGTGGACTACAGGCCACGGAGTTATTTACCCTATATGGAGTACAGTTAATTTATTTATACAAACAGGTGTTACACATAAAAGTGCCTTGTTTATTAGAATATGGTTACATTAGGATTGGCTTTTCAATAATTGTTTTCTGTTTGTTCTGAACCTTAATGACAGAAAGTCTGTTGTTATTTTAACAGTTGGTTTCCATGATGTCAGTAATGCTCATTCTCTCCTCTTTTCAAATGTCTTATTGCAGTGTTTTCATAAATTTCTGTCCTTGAAACAAAGGGACAAATAGAGCACTCGCCCACCTAGCCAACCAGTGACTCAATTTCAGTCGCAGAGTCACCAAAACTGAATGTGACTGAATGTGGTTCATGTATACCATTACGTTTGGTGTGCAGGACGGAACTATGCCGTGGAGTCTGAACTTCAGGAGATACAGACATCAGTTGATGAAGTCGCTGCCCAGAAGCTGTCCATCACAGAAGCATTCAGAACAACAGAAGCCAAAAGGGGGCTTATGATTGCATTTGGTCTCATGATCTTCCAGCAGCTTAGTGGGGTGAATGCTGTCATCTTCTATGCTACAGACATTTTTAAAGTGAGTGTACCTTAAATGGGAAGCACTTGAACCTGAATGCTCGATAATAAGGAAGATGTTTAGGTGAAAGTGGGGAATAGAGGTAACTAGAAAGGAACTTTTTGATTTACACCCTTCTACTTCCATGAGAATAGTTAAATCAAGGATATTACAGTAGTCAGGATATGTAACTAGGAGGGATGGGGGAGAAGGGAAATGAACTTCTTGGAAAGCAGCCACTTAAAAGCAAACTGTGGTGATTTGATCATAACATTTAAATGATCATGGGAATAATATGGTACCTTGGGCTGGATTGGACTGATTCTGGATGGGTACTGGGGGTAAAGCGTCCATGACGTGAAGCTGACCACTCACCTCCACTTAGTGCTAATGTCAAGAATACATGGATTTATACGTCTACTCCCCCATATATCTCCCTGGTGTAGTGCTTAATTAGTAAAGCCCAGGGACAACTTTACTTTGCTAGGGGATGGACTTGTCCTTACATATTACAACCATTTTTGGATATGCGTATCTGTCAGGATGAGCTGTTTTTGTTTGTATTACTGAGGTTTCACTGTTGTTGCTTAGCTACTTATGATATGACCATCATTTTATAGAACCAGAAATTTTGTTACTCTGTTCACAAGAGGCCATATCCTGAGCCAGTTGAATCTAGTGCACACCTTCCCATCCAATTGTTCTCCAGCCACCTATCACTTGCTCCTGCATAGGTGCAAGTATTCTCATCACCCATTTCTCGAAGGTATATATCCACCCCAACTGCATGGCTTATGTTGTTTCAGAGCGCTGGGAGTACACTTGAACCATCTACAGCAACAATAATTGTGGGTGTGATCCAGGCGGTTGCCACGTTCATCTCAACTCTTGTTGTTGACCTCCTTGGGCGCCGAAAACTTCTTCTGCTCTCAGACTTTGTCATGGCCATCTGCACTCTGCTTCTTGGGATCTATTTCTACCTGAGGAATGAAACAGATTTTGATGATAGCAACCTTGGCTGGTTGCCTCTCACTAGCGTGTGCTTATTTATTGTTGTGTTCTCGCTTGGTTATGGCCCAATCCCCTGGATGATGGTGGGTGAACTGTTTGCTCCTCAGATCAAAGGGTTTGCAAGTTCTTTCTCTTGTGTTCTGAACTGGATTCTGGCATTTGTTGTAACAAGGTTTTACTCAGATTTAGCCCTCTCGTTTGGCACACACACAACATTCTGGATATTTGCTGTTATATCAGCTATCGGGACAGCATTTGTTTTCTTCTTTGTCCCAGAAACTAAAAGCAAGACACTGGACCAGATCCAGAAGGAACTGGGTGGGTCTGCACCAGCCCCTTCAGTTGCAACTGCAGACATTCCAAAGTGTTGAGTTCAGTACCTGCAAGCTCAAGCTCAGATTCAAACCAAAGAATTACATTGTTGTGGTCAAAGCAGTATGGAATGTGGTATAAATTGGGAAGCATATTTGCATGCACAAGAGTGCTCAGCACATTGTGCCTCATTTCATGCACAGTATAGACAGTGTCACGTAACTTCGAACAAGGCCCTGCATTCCTAGTCAAATCCCGCGCGTAGCTTGTAGTGGGAGGAGTTTCTTAACACTCTTTCTTCCACTTTCAACGACCCCTCTCACACCCTCAAACCCACCCCCTTGTCTGAAATTTTTCTTCTGTGCATTCAAGGCTACTCTTGGCCTTGTTTGAAGCTATGTGACACTATAGAAGCAGTAGACTGAACTGCTGAATCATTTGCCAGTGTTCAGTTTCTCAGCTCAGGCGTGGCATGTGTCGACTGAAGAGTGTAATTGCTTCTGTAACAAATTAATGGGCAGTTCACTCAGCTTTTCTATGAAATACTATTCATGGCCATATCCATTTCAGTTATGGACTTGATTTTCACATTAGCTATATAAATTCTGAGCACATAAAGCATAATGCCATGGGGGATGTTCAGGAAGTAAGGTTCCCTACCAAGCGCTTTGTTTTTTGGTAGGTGGTAGCATTTAGTAAGGCTGGGAGGTCACCAGTTCCACAATGATGAAGATGAGTGAATGTGTGTTGCTGAATGGTTGCAGATGCAAGAGCGTGATTTCTACTGTGATGGAATGTTTAAACTTGTGCCAAGCTGGGACATATGCATCGTTTTGTACAGGGATTGAGTGGCATAAGTGAGCTGCATCTAATGTTATGATGAACCCTCATTTAGTTTGTATGTCCTAAGGAACCTTAATTATTGAACAACCTTCATATTATCCTAATACCTGTTGTTCAGCACTGCATAACCTGATGCAAATTTGTTCATAATGGTACCTGTAAGTGTAGCTTACAGGCTACAGTGTAGCCAGACTGAGTACAGAAACTTGTGTCTCACCACACCACACCATGCTACATTCCACTATTGTGAAGCATTTTAGGATTCTGAGTTTTTAATGTTAATAATAAGTGTTTTTATTGTTATTTATATTATGGAAGTGATGTTATGCAATTGAGTACTTACCTGTATTAATAAATGGAAAATTTGCAAGTAATGTTGAAGCCTGCTGAGTTTCAGGATGGGATGTGGGGGAATGATGCTGTCGGTAGTTTCACTGTATACTAATGAATGGATGGATTATGGATGAATGATAAAATTGAAAATGTTTTTGAAGCAATCATGGCCTAATTGAAGAAGTTTCTCTGCATTTATCTTGAGGGACTGAGGCAAACCAATGAAACATAATAGTTCTTGTCCCAGCTGAGAACTGAACCAAGCAGCTCCTGAATATTACTCGAGAGTGTTACTGCTACACCAAACTGTTTAGTGAAATGTGATTACATTTTTATTAATTTCTATATATATATGAACAGCCTAGAAAACCTCTGTCCACTAAAGTTGGCACTAACTTCGCTGACAAGCGGCGTTCACTCAGTCCGTATAGTTTGCTTGGAGACTAAAACCACGGAGTTTGTTTTTGTTGTTTGTATATACATGTATATATGATCAGAATTAGTTAGGGGACCATGTGTGTGTGTGTCCTGCTGTNCACGTCAGAATGTTACTTCACCCTATGCCAGTGCAGTATGGGCCATGTAGTGTACCATTTTAGGAGCTACAGGCTGTACGAGAGTTGGTCTCTTCTGATCACATGTTACACTGATGCTGACATGATGGGTGACTGCAGGTCACTGCAGTACATATGAAGCTTGCAGAGAAGTGGTTGCGGCTTTCTTGAGTGTAGAATACAAAACTGGGATGATATAAGGGAACAGAAATAATTTGCTAATGTACAGTGTAATGTCCTGGGTTGTGACCTGTGTAGTACTGCAGCTCAGATCGGGCTGTACTCCTCCTGTGGAACTCAGTAACCACCTTGACAGTGTGCTTATATAGCCCAACCCCATCTTCACCACACTTACCTCTACCCTGAAGATGGGTGTCGATATCTGCCTACAGTGTTACATGGTGACAACAGAAAACCACAACCTTAACACTCACTGCTAGGCCGCACCATAGTTCAAACGGTTAATTGCTGGCTTCCCACTNTCTTTCCCCACCCAAAGCAAGGAAATTCAGCTCAGAATGCAGTGTAACAGAAATGTGACATGCTTTTATACTGTCCACAACTGCATGTTAGTTTTTGGACACATCTGTAACCATGCAAAATACGGAATGTTTGTTGAGTTCAGTGAGGCTGACCATCCTTCTGTAGGCATGCAATGACTTGAGAACTGCTGGATACATTTTTATTAAATTTGATATTACAATATTTCGTACAAAATTATCGAAACCATTTCAATTGTCGTTTAACAATGACTTTACATGAAGTTATAAATGAGTTTCTATTGTATCTCAAGAAACATTCATCAGAGAGTAGGTACATCATTTAAACTTCCATATTTATCAATCAGCCATGGCCTCAGAACACAATCATGGTAAGGAAAGGAAACAGTATATTGCACTTTTTTAATGTAATGCTTTATTACAGTATGACTTTGAAGCATATTGTGACATGACACTTGAAAGTCAGAATACTGGAATCAGAGAAATGTCACAGATATGTCCATTACTAGGCAATTTGAGCACCAGGCATACAGCCGCAAATGTACAGAACCAATCCTGATGAACAAACACAACAGTTGAGGAACTGTGGCAGCAGTGTTTTCTTATGTCTGCAACAACAGAATATACAGAGATCATACAGGCAGGAATAGGAGTCCCAATTGTCAGAGCCCAAAGCCTAGCAATGTGTCTGAAGACAAAACCAGCAGGCTAGAGTGACCTAACAAATCACAGAATAATGATAGTGCATACTTGCATACTGTGTAATTATTTGTAAACAATATGATTCAGTGTCCTTTAAGTTGAATTATTGGCCCAAAGCCCATGTCTAGTCACTATCACTTGACAACTGTTGTCAGGATTCCTGAATTGGCTTATTGGATTGTGAGAAGGGACAGGTTGGAACATTTTCTCAGTGAAGTCATGACTGCAATAAGTGCTGGCTACTGTCCAACAAGAGATCAGAGTGGCAGTAAGGCCTGCTAACAAAAGACTGAGGCTGCAGTAAGTGTCATTCAGTCAAAATTTAAGGACATCAACAGGAAACTGGTGGGAGGTGTTCTGGCGTCTGTTGACCAATGGACACAGACCCTCCATGAGGAACTCAATGGCATATACATAACTCATATGTAAAGCAAATGACTGGATGTACAAGTGATGAGAGCATCTGTTGATAAGCAGGCTCAAAGCCTCTGCAAAGAACTAGACATGAAGGTTGAAGGGACACAATCAAAATACCAGTGACAGAGACCCTCATAGAAGCCACATGGCAGGAGTTCACAACACAACTGGCAGAAGTCATAGTCTGAGCAGGAAAGCAGCAGAGTGGATAGGATAAAGCCATCAAGGTTTAAGAGGTCCATGTCCTGGACTCTGTTTCATCCCCAGTTGGAGGTGGGCCATGCTGGAGTACAACTGGGCAGACCAGGAGAAAGACACACACCTACTGATCCTACAAGGGTAGGCCTTCGATGTCCTGATCAGCATCCCTGCAGTAGCAAGGTATGAAGAGCTCATTGTTGCACTGAGGTGTTCAAGGTCCACTGTGGGGACTACCAACTGGCCATGCCATTACTGTTCCAGCTAAAAGCTGTTTTCAAACAGTACCAACCACCTGGCGTTCTCATAACTTCAAGAGGCATAACTCCATGTGGAGTGAAGCAGGAAGGAAAACATATATGTAACCCACAGAATATTCCTCGCAAATAGGGAGCCAAGATTTGCTCACTTCACCAATTGGAAAAATTCTGTCTCACTCACCGTTCTTGCCAACCACCCTAACTGTCCGTTGGAAGACATCTATCATCCTACAACGATGTCCAAGTTGTATGGCTTGGCCCTCTCATAAACTGGAAAGGCATGAATGCTCGTGGAGGTAAGACCGACATATTCAGATATTTTCACTTGGCTCTTTCGTACATTCGAAACGCCTAACTCCATGCAGAGTGAACTTGACGAGGGAATAAATACGAAACTGTCACCTGGTGCCCTCGTAAATTAGAAAGCATGACTCCACATGGAGTAAACTCGAGAATGAGTATGGAGCCATGTTNCGCCTAACTCCATGCAGCGTGAACTTGACGAGGGAATAAATACGAAGCTGTCACCTGGTGCTCTTGTAAATTGGAAAGCATGACTTCAAGTGTAGTAAACTGGAGAAGGGAATATGGAGCAGTATCATCTGGCACTTTTGTGAATTAGTATGACTCCATGTGGAGTAAACTCGAGAAAGGAATATGAAGCAATATCACCTGATGCTCTTGTAAATTAAAAGGAATGACTCCACATGGAGTAAACTCAAGAAGGGAATATGAAACAGTATCACCTGGTGCTCTCTCAATTAAAAGGTATAACTCCAAGTGGAGTTAGGAGGGAAGTATTTTACAATATTATGATATAATTTGGGGTTCTTGTGAAACTAGTTAGGCTGATTAAAAGGTGTTTAAAAGAAACGTATAGTAAAGTCCATATAGGTAAACAGTTGTCTGATAAATTTCTTACTCAGAATGGTCTAAAGCAAGGAGATGCTTTATTACCACTCCTTTTCAACTTTGCTTTAGAATATGCCATTAGGAAGGTCCAGAAAAACTAGGTGGGACTGAAATTAAACGGGACACAACAGCTGTTGGTCTATGCCAATGATGTGACTCTACTGGGTGATAATGTAGATTCCATAAAGAAAAAACACAAACTTTAATTGACGCAAGTAAGGAGATTTGTCTAGAAGTAAACACAGAGAAAACTAAGTGTATGTTGCTGTCTCAATACCAAAATTCAGGGCATAATCATGACATAAGGATAGGAAAAAGATATTTTGAAAATGTGGCACAGTTCAGATATTTTGGAATGATGATAACAAATCAAAACCTGATTCAGGACGAAATTAAGAGGAGATTGAACTCGGGTAATGCTTGCTACCATTGAGTCCAGAACTCTTGTCTTCTCATGAGCTGTCCAAAAACATAAAAATTAGGAATATACAAAATTATAATTTTGCCTGTGGTTCTGTGTGGGTGTGAAATTTGGTCTCTGACATTAAGGAAGGAACATAGCCTGAGGGTGTTTGAGAACAGGGTGTTGAGGAGAACATTTGGACGGAAGATAGATGAAGTGACAGGAGGTTGGAGAAAACTGCATAATGAGGAGCTTCATAACTTGTACTCTGGTATAATTAGAATGATAAAGTCAAGGAGGATGAGTTTATTATCTAATTCTTGTGTAAGAAATTTTAGTTAATAATGTTTACATATTTTATTCTGCCATTTTATTATTTNTTAGTGGTGATAGTAGTAGTATTATATTTCTTCCTTTACATGATCTGTTTGACCATATTATTCTGTTAAGTGTTGAACTTGGAAACATGAGTGTGTTTATTGCTTTTCATACATTATTCAATCTTAGTCTTGTTAACAAGAGTGTATTTCAGATTATCGAGTTTCATCATACTACAGAAAGTAATAACAAATTGAAACCTCGATATTGTTGCATTAATGTAACCGAAAAGCTATGTTCTGTCATTGTTCACAATGTCCATTTCAATAAGGTGTTGATAGATGTATTTGTATTTATTATAAGTTCAAAAGATCCAAAGATGGATATGTCATAAAATAACATAGAGTACAAAATACATACATAAATATTGTACAACTAGACAGTACAATGAATAAATAATAATAAAAATTATCTATTTAAATATTCATCCACAGTATAAAACACATGAGTATTCAAGAAATTTCTTAATAGAACCTTAAACTTTCTAAAATTATTGGCTGTGTTCTTGATCTCTATGGGCAATTTATTGAATATATTTATACCCGCATAATAAACTCCTTTTTGATAAATAGTTAAATTAGCTAGAGGTAAATACAAATCTTGTCTTTGTCTAGTATCAATACTATGAGAATCAATGTTTGATGCAAAAAAGAACTTTATCTTGCAAAACAAATACTAACAACGAAAATATATATTGTGATGCAAGTGATAAAATATTTAATTCTTTAAATATGTTTCTACACGAAACTCTATTGCCGAATCCCAACATCGCTCTGATAGCCTTTTTTTGGAGAAGAAGAACAGCAGAACTATGAGATGAGTTTTCCCAATGTAACATGTAACTGAAATGTTAATAATTTACAGGCACTGGGACAGTAATTTTTTCCTGGTGAATATGACTGACGTGATAGTAAACTCTGTTCAAAAAAGAAAAGAATGGAATAAGAACTTCTGCAGTAGAATAGATCAGGGTTGCAAAATTTTTTATTGCTGTTTTTGCGAATAGTTGTTCCGGGCGGTGAGGGGACGCAAAACGCGTAGGCTGATGCTGTAACACATTTGTTTACCGACTGTGCTCTCTGCACTGCCGGATATTTAGGATCTCGACTAGCAGCTCAATATAGAGATCGCATGTATGCTCTCGGGACAGCACGGTTACTACGGGCTTATCCAGCCCACGGAGGCTGGGTGCATTCAATTGATATAATACTGCAGTATATATATGTTCTGAATACTGCGCACGATTACTATACAAGCTATGGCGATCCGTGACAGCAATTGCGGAATATTTCTAGCAGCTGACTGGGCTGAGAATTGTGGGGGTTTGTGGGAGTAGTGTGTTAGCTGATTGCGCGTAATGTTAAAGTTTTGTATTACTTTTGAACCAATATTTTGTAGATTGTAAAGTGATATTGTAGTATATGTTTGGCACATTTCGAATGAAATTTTGATATGAAAAGCGGATCTCCGTGGAAGGAGAAAAATGAGAATATGTCATCTGTGTGCATTCCATCAGAAGAGAGAGAGATGAAATCTGTTCTTCAGCATCTGTCACATCGAAAAAATCAGGGTCAAGCAGAAAGAAACTTGGGCACTCGAATACCAGAAGTGAGTTGTCGTAATAGGGAATTGTTAAATAGTTTTCAAATACTAAGGACGAAAGCAATAGTAATGGGTCACCCTAGCCATTATTTTCAGAAAGCTTTAAACACTTTCACCCAGAAAAGAAGCCAAAGTCTGCCCAGTTGCTTGGAAAGTAAGAAACTTTCTTGTACTCGCAAGGATGACAACAGTAAAGAAACTCTGGATTCAAATCAGCCAGAAGAGAACAAAGATGTGGATGTGATTACATTGAAAGTGAACAGTTTAGTATCGAATGAAACCTGGTTTAGAACCTGGCCAGAAAGAGGCAGTGATAAACTTGGTACTCCGCACACTGATATAAGTGGTTGTGGTGCTGAATGTGGGCAGTTTAACAAGGAGGAGGACACTGTAGGGTTTAAGGAAGAATGCTCAGGGAAAGATTTTCAGAATTTCCGAGATAATACTCCAGCCAGTATTAGTGATAATGTCAGCAGAAGTGTGTCCAGTATTCACCAGTCCTATAGGCTTTCACCAGATAAAGCATATGCTTCGAAAATAAATCAGAATATACCGCAACAGTCATCAGTGTGGAAAAGTGATCTGTCATCAAAATGTGATCCTGAAGATTGCAGTGTGAGTGTACAACACAGTTCTTCAGCAAAACCAGCATATACTGTAGATTCCAGTCCTGCCAAGACACCAATTCCTTTGAGAGAACTTCTGCAGAACATTCCGATAGCGTATAGCCCAGTGACGAGACAGTTGCATATAATTAGTGCATCTGAATCAGAGAACTGTGGGAACGTGAAGACAGAGGTGCCTCAGAATGGTCTGAAGCAGCAACTTGAGTGCATAGAAGAGGAAGGTGGTGGTGATATGTGTAAGACTGTCGTGAAGTGTGGGGAAGATGAGTGCCTAAGCTTTGAATCTCCTTGCAGTACATTGCAGCGGTTTGGTACTGGTTCGCTCTCATGTACAGATGCCAGTTCCTTCTCGAGTGTTGTGTCAAGTCTGAGTGATACTTCACCATCTCTGACTAATGATGATCCAGATGACTCTGCATTGACGGTGCATGGCAGTAGCCCCTCTGAATCTGGTAATTGTCACTTTGAGGACGTGCTTGGTGTAAAGTCCAAGAGGAAAGGATTATCAGGCTTTTTTAGTAGGTAAGTCTTACTTTCCTTTTAGCCAAAATTATTGTTCCAGTAACATGCAGCAATCTAGGTTCAGAGGAGTTCATGGTATCCAAATTCATATTTTGGCTGACTTTAGAATTGGATTATGCATGAATTTCTAATGACAGCTTTCACTCTAACTCTGCCCACTCCTAACTGATGATGTCTCAGCTTGTTTGTGTGGAACCAGATGGATGTGACTAGTTTTGGCAATATTTTATGTATGTATTCATATATTTGTATTTGTATTCTGTAGTTGTAGCAGTAGATTGTGAAATAGTGCAGTCCTTGCTGCTGTATTTCATGGTTGTACAGTTTACAGTAAGAATAAACATAATATGATTAGTCTCTCCAAGTGCTCAGATGACAGGAGTTGGTACAGTGACTGGCTATGGACTGAATGACCAAGGTGTCAGAGTTTGAGTCCCATTAGGGTCAAGAATTTTCTCTTCTTCATGTAGTCCAGACCGGCTCTGGGAACCACCCAGCCTCCTATCCAGTGGGTACCAGGGGTAAAGCGGCCAGGGCGTGAAACAGACCACTCACCTCCATCTAGTTCCGAGGCAAAGAGAATGTAGATCTATACACCCACTCCCCCATACGCCCTCATGGTATAGTGCTTAATTAGTTAAGCACAGGGCCAACTTCACCTTTACATTTACCTAAGTGCTGGGATGATGCTGTGATTTCCGCTGTACTGTAGGTGTATACATTTTTGTAATATTTGTTTATTTTCAAAGAAGATAATATAGTTGAGATCTCAGTAGTACAGTTTTTAAGAGCTCTACACTGACTTCGTATTGTGTATAACTTCCTTGTGTGGCTAGGGGATATATTTATTCATGTCTGTGATTGTGTTGTGGGAACTGTTATGTTGCTGTTCTGTTTGCCTGTAGCAACCAACATACATTTATGTTCAGTTGCCATCTGTGGTGAGTTTTATATTCAATTTGGAAAAGTGGAGAGTTGTTGTGACTATACAAGTTAGGAAATGTACTCAGTCTGTTACAGTTCTTATGCAAGAATCTTGAAAACTAACACTTACAGAAAAGATGTCTTTTACATAAAATGTGTTTGACTTCTCTCTCTCTCTCTCTCTCTCTCTCCAAAAAATATTTTTTATTGGATAAATATATAATGAATTATGCTCAAGATTTTCGCAGAAATGCATGTCCAATATTTTTGCTCAGTTGCAACAAGAATTTCAATGGGAGTACAAGCATTAATAAAATAAAATTCTCTTGTATCAAATTTCATGAAAATCTGTTTAGCAGTTCTGTAGTTGCTTCACACACTCAGATGGACATGTGGAGCAAATTTAATGGGCACTCTGCAAGGATAGCGCAGCCGGTATAGTGACAGCATTACCGTTACCTATTTCTCTACATGGGCGTGAATGTAGATAATTTTCTTTTCATATTGTAATGCAATATTTGGGTTGAAGTGTGGGAAAAATTTATTATTCATGTTAAATAGCATGGGAAGAAGTAAGAATTTTGACAATATTTTCCATAGTCAGGAATTTAATGACCCTTCAGCTGAGATAGGCATGTGTGATTTAAACATGAAGTTGGGTAGACATACAAATTTAATTTTTATTTTTCATACTTCATGTGTCAATTTCTGTGCCCTGGAAGACCAGAAATTAATATAAAATATTAAAGAGTGTAGTAATTGTTCATTAATTATGCCTTCGTGTGAGATGTAGGCAGGTGTAATGACTTCTGAATAATGTGATTTATTTGCAGAATTGTCGTCGGCCTAGTGGGTCTTAACCTGCTATTTGTAGTGCAGGACAGCCTCACAGTTATGACCAGTGTGATCTTGATGTTTGTGTTATAGTCTCATAATCTTTGGTAGCCCACAATATGCATGACTTTTTTTTTTGCTTAGTGGGGGGTGGAGTCCAGCTGGGTCCACTGGGCACGGTGGCCACTGATTGGCCTATTGTAGCCTGTCCCGGGTGATTATGATGATGGGGAATTTGGTGGAATGAAGATTGGCAGGGGAAACCAAAGTACTCAGAGAAAACCCACCCAAGCGCCACTTTGTCCCACCACAAATTCCACTTGACCAGACCCGGGATCGAACCCGGGCCGCCACGGTGGGAAGCCAGTGACTAACCGCTTGAGCTATGGCGTGGCCTATGTGCATGACTTTGTCACATCAGTATGCTCACAACAAGAATAACTGTATGAGGACGAAGAGGTATAGCACTTACGCTTCTTAAAGCTGCCAGTAAAGCTAGGAGAAACACTTTTTTCTTTTAGCTTGTTATGTCATCAAGATATATTAAGTGGCAGTTAGGGGAAAGGGACACAGAGCTTCAGACAGGGGTGTATATATATGACAAGCTCTTAGAACCTTAAATCTAACAGGGGTGTATATACAGTAAAACTTGGTTATAGCAGCATCGGTTTCTGCGACACCTTGTCTATTGCGTCAAATATTCAATGGTACGAACTAATTCCTCATAAAGCAACTGTTTTTATACCTTGCTTAGTACGACATGTACAAATGCATCAACCTCGTATGTAACGTCATTTTCATTCCTGAATTTCCCTGATATCATGGGAAAGTTCGATGTGTCTGCCCACCCTCACTTTCTCTACTTGCTGACGTGACTGTCCTGGAAGAATACGACCGCGGGCTGCAAGAGGAGCGTGGGTTTTATGCGAAAACAAGGGTGTGGGGTGGGACTGCGTGAATAGTGCAAGAGGACGCGGCAGGTTGTTAACTGCATTCCTTTCCTAGAATCTCGTCTAACAGGACCTCACATTGTCTACTTACCCTATAGTGTTCCTGCCTAAACCCAGAGAAGTGCAGTAGCGAAAACATGGCAATGAAAAGGAAAGTTTTAAGCACTGAAGAGAAAGTTAAAGTGATTCGTGAAATATTGTGTGTATTGTCAGTGAAAAGCGCTGTAATATGTCTTTGATATTACACATTTGGGCAATTCCACGTTAATGTTACGTTAGTCTGTACTTAACTACGTATTTCACTAAAAAATGCAACATTTTAACTCGGTTTTTGGTAGATTTTTACGTGACTAACATAAGGCTACTGTGGAAGTGCCCATTTCGGTTACAACGAAATTCGTTTATAACGACACTATTTTTAGGTCCCTTTGATGACGTTATAACCAAGTTCTACTGTATGTTTGAAAGTGTAACTAACATTTGGGAACATGGAAGTCAGGGACGTGGGTTGGTTTAAAGAAGGCATGTAGGGATTACAAATATAAACGTTTGGTGTGCTGTACAGTAAGCAGAGAAGGGTATGTTCTGGGAATGCAATCCACAAGTTGTTGGATGTCAAACGTCAGAATGCAATTGTTTGTGCATCAAGCGGTTTCTGTGAAACTAGTGTCATAGTTGCAATTTTAACAGGCTATAATGAAGTATTGCAGCCTTATTGATATAGAGTTAATTGACCTTTGGTTCTGTATGGGTATGAAACTTGGTCTCTGACTTTGAGGAAGGAATGTAGACTGAGGGTGTTTGGGAACAGGGTGTCGAAGAGAATATTTGAACCAAAGAGAGATGAAGTGACAGGAGGTTGGAGAGAAATGCACGGTGAGGAACTTCTTAACTTGTTCTCTTCGCCAAGTATAATTAGAATGATCAAGTCAAGTAGGATGAGATGGGCAGGACATGTAGCACGAATAGGGCGAAGAGGAATACATATAGTATACTGGTGAAAAAGCCAGAAGGAAATAGACCACTAGGATGACCAAGATGTATATGGGTGGACAATATTAAAATTGATCTTAGAGGGAGAGGATGGGATGGTATGGACTGGATTGATCTGGCTCAAGTGGAGAGATCTTGTGAACATGGTGATGAACCTTCGGGGTTCCATAAAATGCTGGAAAGTTCTTGAGTAGTTGCGCAGTTGGCAGCCTTTTAGAAGGGCTCAGCTCTATGAGTGAGTGAGTGTGTTAATTGTATCTATACAGAGCCACCTGTGCTGCTTGTCAGTGCTGTGCTAATCAACGGCGAAAATAAACCACAGAACAATTTATACTTTTAATTGAAATAAATTTAAGTGGCTACATTTTGTGCAGATGTGAATGCAGCTTTTCTTCCTTACTGTCACTCCAAGGAGCATGGCTGAAGTCCTTGTGTGTTGTCTGAGACAGGCTAATAGAAAGATGTCTGCAGTATGCTTTTGAAACTTATGACTCATAGCTCTGATTGATGGGACGGAAACTGTGCATCTCCTTGTCACTGACTGTCCTGTTTAAGCCGTGATTATAGAATTGATTGTATGTATATTAAAGAAACCATGAGAATTGCTGATGTAAGATTCCTGCTGGCCTTTCTAAATGTAGTCTTGTTTTCATGAGGTCACTGAGACCTCATACAGTATCCTATAAAACATATATAAATATATTTTGTGCGTCATCAGGATTTTTTCAAAGACAGACGGGGAAGGAGTGGCAGCTGATGTTCTGATGGTGGCAGTCAGAAAAGTTGCTTAGCAAACTTAAAAACGTTTGAGCACTTTAAGACTGTTTTTACTCATCACCCTATAGTGTTCAGTATAGAAAAATTAGTGAAAAATACTTGTAATTTTTGCATTAATATTTTGTATATTCCATTTTTTCGGGGGCATATGATAGCATAGTTGGTTGAGGCACTATGCTGTTAGCTGAAAGGTCATGGGTTTAAGTCCTGATGAGGTGGATTTTTTTTTTTTTTTCAATTTACATAATCTTTCCAGCCACACTATGGCCTTGGTGTAAACTCAGTCACTAACAGAAATGAGTACCAGGAATCTTCCTGGGGGGTAAAGGGTGGCTGGCATAGAAGGCTGACAGCCTTACCGCCATCTGTGAGCTGATTGTCTAGAGAGAATGTGGAAGCCTCAATGTCTCACGACCCTATGGGCTTTCACTGCCTGTTACAAGGATAGCTTTCTTTATATTTCCTTTTTTCAGTTTCGTTTTTTTTTTTTTTTTTTCAGATTTCGGTATGATGCTCCAAGTGTATTTTCAATGTAATTGTTGTGGGTATAAAATTAATAATATCACTGTTTGACTATACCATTTTTCGTTTGAAAAAGATAAAAAATCTTGTTTATTTTTGTATGTCTTATTTGTAAGTGCCGCTCAAGAAGACAGTGTTAGAAGGCAGCTGTTAGCAAGCACTTTACCACAAATTACATGCTGCAGTTTTGGATACTCCTGATCACCAGAATCTGCAAATCCAGATTTTGTATACTTGACATCATACTTTCTTTTCTTGAAACCCGACTTTCCAACACCACTTTGTGTTTGATTACACGAACTTTGTTTATTACGTGCCGGACCTGGTGCAGTGTTAACTGATGTTGGTAATTCGGTCTTCCTTGTTGTAACATTCTCTGTTTGTAACCACTTATCCAGTGGGGTAAAATTAATTGCACAATGTGAAATGTTAACAGCCACTGGGGGAAATTTGCTGTACTGAAGCAGACAGCAGCACACCTAAAATGGACGAATAAGGCCAAAGTAACTCACACAGTCTCTGTGTTAATGGCACTTGGTGAGGAATGGAGTGGAGTTGCTGTAACAGTACTTCTACCCAACAGATTCTGCACCCATTATCACTGAATACTTGTCCTTCACTCTATGTTCCACCTTCTTACAAATTAACAAGATAAACATAAAAAATTAAACAGTAGTTTTACGAGTCAATGAACAACAAACTCACAGAAACCTGCACCCAGTGACGTCTCACTATTCACCAAAGTTGGAAGGCAGCCGCCTTCCTCTAATGATGCATTAGTGATGGCAGATAGTGCATCACTGACTTTCCTAGTGGTTTACACAGTATAATTTAATGACATGTCACTGATAATGCATCACCAGTGTTACCATGCACTTAAGCCTTAAACTGTTAAGAGGTGCACATTTCCCTCACATTTGAATGCACAGCATAATAATATATTGTTGTGGTGATGAACCTAAGGTTCCTTAAAAGTAAGATATCAGCTCTTGGTTTTGAGGATCTGTCAGTAGTGACAGCTAGCCTGCTGTCTGTTTCTGCTAGTTTCTTGCTTGGCTTACTCCTCAACCCTGAATATGGATGTGATATTTTACCCAGAAATGTCAGACTGTCTCCTCACTACTTGTCTTCAAGATTGAACAGGTCGGTCTAGAGGTAATGCTGTGTTCTTGTGTTCAGGAGGTCTTCAGTTCGAATATTGGGCAGAACGCCACCTATCTTGACATGTTCTTTGAGGTGCTCCTTATATCTTTTTCCAGTTCTTTGTTCATCTGTTATCCAGTCATCCAATGCTGGAGCCTCAGTACTGAAAGCATCATTAAATAACCCACAAATAAAAACAGCGTTACAGTCCAGACTGGATCAAAAACATAAGTAGGAAGGTACAGTGGGTAAGAGCTTCCATTTTGTCCTAACACTGGGGTAACATTAACAGGGCGCACTAGTTCCAAGAAAGTTCCTCTTGGCAATTATTCTCAAACAAACATTGAAATAGTATATGCCAGGATTTCTGAAAATTTATGATACTGTGTTCCCCTAAAATGACACCCCTGCCCCCAATAATTAGGGCTATTAAGCTGGGATACCACAGGCTGTATAGTGACCAGCTACAGGGCATGAAGCTGACCAGTCACCTCCATCGAGTGTCAAGGTCACGAATGCTTCCCCATACTGTCTTCATGGTATAATGCTTACTTGACTAAGCACAAGGACACTTTATATTTACTTTTATTCCCCAAATTTATGATTCCCCAGAAATGACAAATTTGTATGACCTCTCCCATAATATGGCTGCAGCTACATTCTACAAAGCATCTGTATACCTTTTTAATCACAGGACTTACTGACTTGGCAGATATATGTGTAAATATAACCTTTTTTTAAATATTTCTTGAGAACTTGGCAGCACCCGTTGTAGTAGGTCTTGACACCCTGAAGGTTTTTTGCAACCCACAGTTTGAAAACCCATTAATACAGCACTTTGGATTCAGAATTAATATGTAGTCTCCACTCAATTTCTCATGCAGTACAGAGAAAATATTGTTATTTTGTTTGGAAGAAGTTCAGGGAAGAAAGTGCAGTCGCAGGAGTGATGTCAGTACTGTTGGAGACAGGACCCACAAGGCACTTATTTGCTTGACATCACAAGAATGCCTAAATATGCCCCTTAATGAGAAAGAAGCTTGTGTGAACTGAGATGGCTTGATGCATCTTGAATAATGCTGTCTTTACATTAGTGTTCATATGCACAAGGGAGAGTCAGTAATGAGGTCACAAATGGATATGAAACGTATAGCATGTGATACTCGAACATGGGAAAAACATTTATTTCTCGACATATCTTCCACCAACATTGATACACTTGTCCCATCACTTAACCAGTGCATTGGAATTCGTAGCATAGAAGCCTTTTGACTTTTGTATCAGCAACTTCTGCACCTCTGTTTCAGCCTCCTCATCACCAGTGAAATATTTGCCACCAAGGTGTTTTTTTAACATACGAAACAGATAGAAATCACTAGCAGTCAGGTCTGGGCTGTCAAGTGGATGATCAAGAAATTCCCATTGTAGTTCTTGAATTCTCTCCTGGGTTCCTCGGGCTGTATGAGGTCTGGCATTGTCATGAAGCAGTGCCCCTCTTGCAAGTTGGCCTGGATGTTTTCTATAAATTGCATCCCAAATCTTCAACAGAACTTCACAGTGCAATGCAGAATTCACATATTCACTACACTTTGAAAATGAGCCAACAGTACTCCCTGAGAATCCCAAAGTACAGCAAGCTTAATTTTCCAAGCTGATGGACTGCTTGTAACCTTAAACTTTTTGGCTGAACTAGAAGGCAAATTGGGTTGTTTCCATTCATTGAAGCCACTTGGATTCAAGTTGGTAGTGCTGAACCCATGATTCATTCCGAGTAACAATCCTGTTAAACATATGTTTTCCTTCATCTGCATTCCATAAGGGATGTTTCAAGAACAGACCCATTTGGTTAATTTTGCTCAATCCTTCAGTTCTCTGGGCCCCCGAATGTGTGCACCCATTCTGAAACTTTAAACGATTATGCATTGTACTGTATGTTAAACCATGGGAACACCCTAGTGCAGTTGCTGCACTGTCTGTTGTTATCCTTCTGTTGGCTCGAATCAACCCTTTCACCCGCTGCACAGTTTCTTTTGTTGCAATCTCAGCAGGGTGACCTGGTCAGGCATCATCTGTGACTTTCAAACGCCCTTGAGAGAGTTTCTTGACCCAGTTGTGAACTGCTTTACAGGACAAACACTTTCCACCATAAATAGGAAACATTTATGTATGAACATCTTTTGCAATGTGTCCTTATGACCACAAAAAACGCACAACAGAACGCTGCTCTTCAGTAGTATACTGCTCAAGTACGGTCACCATTTTGACTACCAAATACAGCCTCAGAACATGCACATGTGTGTCTACTACATAGACTGGTGTTTCTCAACTGTCGGGCCATGGCCCAGTATCGGGCCCTGGCATCAATTACTCTGGGCCCATGTCTTATAAAAAAGAAATTACTGGGCCACGGTCTCACAAAGGTTGAGAACCACTNGGAACACCCTCCCGAAGTTTGGCACATTCCTCCTGGGACACGCTGTATATAGAAAACCTATTACATACATTACAACTGTTTTACTTCCATTTGTGATCTATTTACTGACTCTCCCTTGTAGATACACATAGATGTGAGATGTCAATTTTGATCACTCTCCCATGCGCTTCCAGGAATGTATTTGTGTGGAAGTCATCCCGAGATTCTCAGAACAACAATGGCACTCCTAATGAGAACAGTTGTACGATGTCCCCTGGTTGGACGCTGTTCAGGAGACTAGGATCAAAACCATCAGAACAAGATGTTACTGTTAATGTGGTATGTTTTATAAGTATTTGTTCAGTTTTGTTTGTTTGTACGTTCAATTGGTTTCAAAGTTAGTTATTATTATTATTATTATTATTATTGACTTTTAATAAGTTTGTATGTAATGTAATTCAGTCATCTACACTGTGCTGAGTCTGTAATTGGCCTTGCGGCTGTTGACTCGGCACATTAATAATAAAGAATTGAATTGAATTGAATTGAATTATTATTATTCTTAGTGGACTGAGACTGAGTCCATGTGGTACTGCAGCCACTACTGGCCTAGTATGGTTTGAAAGTTTGTATTAATTGTAATGAATTGTCAGCAGATGGCAAGGGAATATTATCTTTATTGACAGTTTATACAAAGATATTTGCTTCAGGAGAGATACTTGTTCTGTCTCATTCACAGCATGTACAGAGGCATGTCTGTGTAACTTGTTCTCCTGGCTGTTTCTGTTGACATTCAGATAGATGAATTAACTCATAAATGAGGGATACAGCTTTGAAATGCATAACCATGCAAGTGTAATTAAGTTACTTCTTCCATCAGTAAACATCAAAAGCAGGCCCACAGAATAACACATTTAAAAATAATGTCATGTGTATGAGTGACTGTAGACAGGATTTGAATTGGTAAACAGATATATTGCACACTTACACACTCAACAGTTCACTGCAGCTTGCAGTAAGTCTTCTCAGTCTGCTGAACCTTCACTGGTTTTCTCCTGGTAGCGGCCTCCAAGGCCATACCTTCCTCAGCTTCCATGTTTATATCCTTACTGCCTGATGACTGTATCACAACTAACTCCTATTCTTCCAACTGCCGTCTCAAGACCCTCTTGTAATCACAGCTGCTTCTCATTATATAGCCTCAGCATGGACTGAATAGAAAACACCTCTCCCAACAGTTATTCTGTTGTTGCACCACATAACTATTGCACGGGCTGCGTAGAGAACACCACTTCCAGTTACACCATTGTTGTGTGTTATGAATCTGTTGCCTAGCAACATGTGTGTCTGCATAGTGACAGCTGTCTTTGCTGGCTTCACAGTTCTTGCCTTGAGCAACTATGCCACAATATATATATGTAATACTAATACCACTGAAAGACTATCAAACATATAGACCAAACTGGTAATCTGGTAGCTAGTAAATTGGTTTTGGAGGCCATTACAGCCCTGTCTCTAGCCAATGTACACTGTGTACTGAAGCCATAAATTTTTTTACCATGTGTGCACATACAGAAATAAAAACCATGGATACATATAACCAAATGCTTTGATTGTTGAAAGTGAATGCACATAGCAAATTACAGACAGTTGAAGTTGGCAAAACCATGACTGAGCGTGGATTTATGCTTTCAGAATGGGTTGAGAAAGGTGTGTAAATAAGAATGTGCAAGGTGGCTGGGAGTGTCAGAACTGGAGGGCTTAGTGGTGGTGGCCTGCAAGGATAGTATGTAGTTGCCTGGGTGTGAGAACTGTGACCAGAATCAGAGTCTGTTGCTGACAAAGATTACTTGGAATTGTAAGCAAAGAGACTTAAGTATTATGGCCAAACATGAAGTGTTATGGTCTTTACATTGAAATGATAACAAAATTTTGTAGGAGAATATGTTGGGAGGCCTTGTTCATTTGCTTTGGTTATTATGCAACTGAACATCTCAGTGTAGTTGTTAGTATTATTATTAATATTTAGACAGTCCATGGATATTCCTGGAAGGTATCATTGTTTTCCCTAGTCCTTCCCTGTTTCCTTCCACATCCTACCCAAATCTTAATCCTCAGATTTTCTTTTGTCAGCAGCGTTATATATAGTGGGCAACTGATCCATCATCATGAAACAGACTAGTGGCAAGTAAGTGGGGATTATGCTTTAAGGAGACAAGCGGACCACCAGAGTCTCCAGTAAGTATTCGCTCAACAGGCAGCGGCAGTAAGCGTTACGAGGATATTGTGGCCAGCAGCTCCGCCCTCATACTTCACAACCGCCCTTCAAACTTGCCAGCCAAATCACAAGATGAAGAGCAGAAGCACCGCCAGGAGTACCGGCAAATGGTAGAAGCTGCACGCAAGAAAGGTGTGTTGTTTTCTTCTAGGCTGGCTGAAGCTAATGTTGTGTTTCCTCTTACTGAATACGCAGGGTAACCAAATGACTGTTATGGATCCATATGATTTGAATTTCACCCTGCGTCTTAAATTAAATGGGGGAAAATAGTGTTAAGCCAATTTCTGTATTTCCTGATTGAGTGTATAAAACATTTAACTCATTGTTATTGCACATGAACCTTAGAGAGGAAACTGTTGCCTATTGATCAGATGTGCTCATGCAACTTTTTTGTAGTACACTCATATTCAGTTCCAGATGCTCACTAAACTTGTTTGTGTTTTTGTTTGTGTTCACAGTGCAGCATCATACATAGAGTCAGTCTTTAGTTATATGCAGACCAGTGTTGGAAGAATTGGTATTGTGTTCACCATAAGTTAATTATTCTCCTTGTTCACTTATGTGTGTGTAACAGTATAACTCTTCTGCATTATGTCATGTCATCTGAAATGCTGTGGTACCCTCTGTTATCATAAATTTGGTGCAGTCATCAAATTATCTCCAGCTCAGATGAATCTGAATTTATAGTGTGCATATTGTTACAGCAGTTTTGGTCCCTGCAGTGAAAGTTTTCTTGTTCTGTGAATACTGAGGACTGAGAATGAACTGTAAATTAAATGATTTGCTTCATTGAACCAGTCAGTAATTAGGGGCAGTGTCAGTAATAATGACAGAACACTCTGATGTTAATGTAGAGATAATGGCAGAATAGGCTGAACAGTTGCATGATGTAGCAGGTTCTCATGAAGAGTACTGTCTCTCTGGGTTTAATGCCGTGTAGTCCTGTAGAAAGGTCCCAATGTTTTGGAGGACCCTCCTGTCTCCAGCTTCTGTGCTGACAATGGAGGTAGCAGGTTCCTCCAGACTACACAGCATCACATCCCAAAACCCGGTATTTTTCAGATAACATGGTGTGTTATGAAGAAGGGGCACCTGGTAGCATAGTTGGTTTAGGCACTATGCTAGAAGTCAGAAGGTTGGGGGTTTGAGTCCGGATGAGGTGGATTTTTTTTTTTCAATTGACTTAATCCTTCCAGCCACACCATGGCCCTGGGATGGACTCAGCCTCTCATAGAAATGAGTACTAGGAATCTTCCTGGAGGTAAAGGGTGGCTGGCGCGTAAGGCTGACACATCCTAACCACTGTCTGTGAGCCGATTGTCAAGAGAAAATGTGGGGGCCTCAAAATATCACAACCCTATGGGCCTTCACAGCCTGTTACAGGGATAGTTTTTGTTATGACTGACGAAAAGGAAGCTTAAATAAGCTGAACGTATGGATATCAATCATATGTCCATTTGTCCACCTGTCCTCGAGTGGTGTGTGCCGCATGACATGCTGGGTGATAAATGGTTGACTAATACACACATTTATTTCTAGGTCCTTTTTGAAGTTGTTTTATTCACATCCAGTGAAGCTGATGTTTAAGAGTCCATGTAGCTGTGGTGTGCCGGCTGCAGAGTGTAAATATTGCTGGAATTCATGGTGTACGACTGTGATGCTGACAACGAATTGTGTATTGGGAGATTCAGAGGAGAAAGTAGGCATAGCCCCTCTGATGGTACAGTCCAGAGTTTCAGCTAAGGATGCTGAGGAATACCATGAAGAGTGTTTCTCAGAATAGCCAGCTGCCTCCCTGTCTGAGTATCTTGTTAGCAGAGGCTGAACCAGCTTGGTCACACAGATCTTGTTTTCATGTGAGAGGAGGAATAGGTTGCAGGTGCCACAGGAGTTTGAATGCTGGGGTTGCTTGGTATTGAAGTAGTTTTATTTATTGTGCAGAACTCAAAGAGGCAAAGCTACGCAAGAAGCAGTTGCAGAGACAGTTGAAGCTGGAAGAGCAACTTGCTAATGCTGCGCGTATCTGGAACAATGAGATTCTGCCTAAATGGGATATGATGTAAGTGCACTGCAAACAGATCTTCTTAATGTCTAACATATCTGCTACAAGAAACATGGTAAAAGATTCTGCAAGAATAAATGCAGGAAATATACGTGTATATGTCTGTGAAATAATGTTTGGTGCCTGGCTCTTTGAAGTGCCTCCTCAATGGACAGGCTCACTGCTCCAGACATTACAATGTAACTGGTTGGAAATTGTATGAGGATACTTGCAGTGACAACATGATAACATTTTGTTATTTTGGGGATTTAGTAATTATTTGACCTGTCACTTCCAGATATCTATAATGTTTGTTATATAAAGAAGTCATGATCATGTAATTTGAAGCTTTCATGGTGACTCCATTATATTAAATTGTGCCAGGTAATCGGCCATGACAGTGTAGAATTACTATTAACGTTTGAGAGACTGTTTCTTTTCTCCATCGTCATGGGTTGGTGTGTTGAGTTTCACATCCACATGTGGTTACGCCACAGAGTATGCTGACCTAGTGTGTACTGCTAGTGGGACTGTGGGTGCAGTCGGATGATCAGTGGTGCCCTTTCCCTACATGGACTGTTGGGGAACAATTACATCACAGTAAAAACATTAAATTAAAATGGGCTTAAGTCATATCCTTGTCTCACTCTACCTGTTTGGTCCATTTTATCAGTCACTTCTTTCATATCACACTTAACCTAAAGCTTAATATTTTCCTACATACTTGCAGTACATTTAATCATACTGCAGCCTATCCCTTCTGTTCTAATTTTGTTCCATAAGACTTCTTTAGTAACTGAGTCAGAGTTTCTGAAAAGTTGTAAGATCACATTTTTGTTACATCTTAAATATTTATTAGTATACTGTGTGTCTCTCGCATGTTTTTTTTCTCTCTCTCTCTCTTTCATATATATATATAAAATTTCTTTTATTCTGTTGTCCAGATAATTTTTCACATAAATTATAATGCTCCCCATCTTTCTTCCATAGTAATCCCTTTATATAGCGGCCTCCGTAGTCTAGAGGTAACGTTCCCACCTCATGACTCGTAGTACACAGGTTCAAATACCCGGTGGAGGTCGTCGAATTTTTAAGGGCGGAAAAATTCAGGGAACAAGTCCTCCGGGAGGGACTTTAAGCCGTG